ATGCATTATTGTGACGTCATAAACGTTGATACTTCGCACTTTATCGGACTGGCGTCCGTAATAATCGGAGTTTGGTGCATTTAGACCATCGGACTTTGGCGTCACCATCGGACTTTGGAGTCTTACATATTTAAATTACACTCAAAAATCAAAATTATTGAAAATATTTTTTTTAAAGTAAGAAAATTAAAAATAAAACAAAATGTTGTCACTCTTAATTCTTACTTCTTGTTTGCGACAGGAAATGCATTCTATAATCTCCATGCAAAAATATTTTTTTTTAAAGTTTTTCTTCAAAATGCGAGAGATGGATTTACATTTAGATCTACCTGACTTGTACATTATTCAGTTATCATTGAAAAGAAAAGTTGCCTGTTTCTGATTAAAACTTCTCCCTCTCCAGGTTGTGGCATTGATTCTTCAACAATGGAAGCAACATCCCTGAATTTAGGACTAAATCGTGTTGCCACCAATTTCCGAAGATTCCTCGGTAGTTTTGCAGCTGCCATACTGTTGGTCTTGTGTACTTTGAACGGCTGGATAAAGTGAAACTGAAAGTAGACTCGAAATATTTGAATGTATTTCAGGTATTTTATCCTGTTCGAATCTATCTGAATTTTTAAATAATCCTAATTTGAGGGAGTCTTTTAAATTTTTTTATTGTTTCAATTTCTATTTTTTTTCCCTGGCTGCTATTGTTGACAACTAGAAAGAAATCCGGAATATATTTTTCCGTCCATGATTGATTCACTCAAGTTGTAAAGTGAAACTAGAAATCTCTGCGGCAAAACGTCAAGAAACAAAAATGGGATTAACAACAGGAATACTAAACATTGTATCTTTTTCATCATTGACAAATTGTACAATTGAGATGTTTAAGTTTTTGAGATGGGATGAACGAAACTTTGACAAGCTGTCATATAAAATAATAGAAGGTAACGTAAAGATGGTAAAACCAGGTTCTCTTTATCGTACGTTCTACATGTTCTAACCCAAATATATGGCTTTTTGACAACGGTTATTCTGTGATAATTGTTTTCAGTCATTAATTCTTAATAGGGTCCATCATAATGTGTGTTCTTTCTTATGAACGAATTATGAAATGAATATTTTTTGTAACATTGTTTTGAAGTTTTGCTTGTTTTCTTTCCCATGTTTACACATTTTAAGGTTCTGGTACCAGAGAAAGCTCAATGTAACTTGTAAATTAATCATATAACACGTTACTTGTTGATCAGTTTACAATTATTTGTAGTCTGTTGAGTATTTATGTTTTTAAAGGTATATACAAAAGGATGAGTGCACTTAAGCTATGAGAGTTGGGTCACAGTGTTTTGCACAAAATAAAATCCATAATTTCATTAAATTTATGTTTTATAGGTATTAAGCAATGTCTTGAGAGCAGGTTTTGGTATATTACATTACATGAAAGTACTAAATAATGCTGAGCAACTCTAGCTTTTGAGACAGGGGATTAACAGTTTTGTCACATTTCTTAGAATTTCTGCAAATGAGACCAATGGCCAAGTTGCGGCTCAGTGTAAACAATGTCGTTGAAAACAGGTATGCATATGAATAACAATAGACTATTGTTGTTCATATGCATACCAGTTTCCAACGACATTGGTCTCTTTTGCACAGAATGTGTATTTTAATTTAAATTTATACATATCCAAAGGACAATGTTGACCAAGTTGCGGCTTATATTTAATTTTTTTTTAAAAAGTTTCCAAACAACCGTCAAGTTAGCCACTAAATTAACAGGTCCCCGAGTGTCAGTAATTGATATTATAATCACTTTACTCACTTGACATTCCATGGTTCGATACGTCAACGCTTTCATTGAACATTTCATTGTGTTTGTCATTTGAAGTTTCTACTTGGACAGTATTTATCGAACATCAACATGTACTTCCAACTTCAAACTATGAAAGATTTTTGTGCACATATTAATAAGGTTCAAAGGTTACATGTCTCTTTTTTTACTGTGTATTTTTCGTTAGGAGTGTTTTGAAAGAATTCTGGTATTAGTGAGATTAGAAAATAATATTTAAGCTTATGTCGCCTCAGTATTATGGTCTGCAGGGCAATACATCTACCCCATCCCTAAACACTAGATTCAATTATTATTTGTGCACCATGAAACTACACAATCTCTATCTTCACCATTTAAATTCCTAATGTAGCATCTGATTGCAAAAAAAAATTCTATGTGCTATTGTTTACATTCCTCATCCATGTGATTTAAATGTCTCCGCCTATTCGCTGGTACCTTAAATTTATTCGGTAGTAACCAATATTTGCCCCCCAAAATCAAACTTCTGGAGAAATATTTTATTATGTTCTTATATATGTTATTTTTTTATAAGCAATGTCATATGTTTGTAATTATAGATTTCTAAAAAAATGTTATGTATTACAAAAAATTCAAGAAATCAGTAAATATCAAAAGCATATGCAAACACAATAAAGGTAGAATTGTTGAAATTTTGTTCATTTTGTCCTCTTTTCTAAAAAATGATATAAAGCCGGACTAGTTCGTGACGTCATAAAAACAAAAACCGTCAATAAACTACTTTGAAACTTTAATATGTTCTGTTAATTTATATTTCTCATACAATTTATAGAATTCAGCACATTTCAAGAATTTTTCAAAATTTGACTTATTAATAAATAAAATATATACATGTTGTTCATGATATAGTGCTCCCGCTCAGAACACATACATGTTCTTTTCAATGTCATTGTCTGTAATTATAGAAATATGTATGACAAAAAATCCAAGGCATAAATATCAAAAGCATATGCTAACACAATAATCATAGATTAATTTAGCAATGTATTGTAATGTAAAGATTAAAATGGGTAGCCAAAAAGGTTCCAAAATATAAAAAATTTTTTAAAACTTGAAGCAGAAATTTTGAGTTATGTACAAATGTTAAAAAGCAACTTTAATGGAAAGAAATCACTCTACCATATTTACTGTTAAGTGAACACTTAAATAAAATATACACATGTAAATGATATAGCTAGAGCTCCCCTCTGGAATACATATTCTAGATCATACTTACACATACTCATCATCTGATATATTTTGCCTTTACAGGTACAAGAGAGTCTGTCCTGGTAGATATTTTCTGTGATCTGGGTTTGCTGTTGATTTTTCTGTGCCAGCATCGACTGATGAGCCACATGAAGTATTGGAGCAGGGTGGAAATCTTGCCAATTTTTGGACATTTATATGTTATTGCTTCATCATTGACTCTGCTGGTAGGAAAAAGAAATTGTATTTAAAAAGTGATACTCAAATGCTTTCAATACCAAAGATGGCATGCGTAACATGATAGTTAGCTATAATTCAATAACATTAACTACATGTGATTGAAAAGCAGCAACAAAATTTGCTAGTAAAGATTATATAAGCAAGTTCAACATTGTGCTCCCCCACTTTTGGTTAAAGGTGCAGTTAATTGAGGGGGGGCATCAAATTTGTAATCCAATATGAAATTTTGAAAATTGAATTTACCCAAGATTCAACGAAGTACATGTATATACAATGTAACTGCATGATTTTTTGAAAACTATGAGAGTTAGGTAATCATTGAATAAATACAATTAAGTATTATCATTATGATTATAAGTGCATTTGTTTTCATTTACAGATGTTGATGACTTACTGGAGCCACATTCCTTCAGTAACAGTCTGGTCTTGGAACATTTCCTCATATCCTCTGTTGATTCTCTTCTTCCGACTCATCTATTATTTTGCATGGGGAATCCTACTTCTAGAAAATCTTGTTTATATAACACAAGTTTATGCCCCACAAATCAACAAGGTAATTGCCTAACGATAAAAATTCTTTGAAAAATTGGACTTTGTACATTCAAAAATTAGAAAAGATGTCAAAAACTGAAACACATTTCTTTGAAATTATTGCAACTCAATATTCAACTATACCTTTATTTACAGATCTTTTACCGTGATGGTCGTTTCCAGAGATCTGTTTCTTCTGGCCTAATCCATCTAAGGGAGGTTTTTCCCCACCCTGGCCTTTTGTGCTTCACCATTATTCTGTGGGTGACTCCGACCTTGACCTTGGATAGGTGGCTCCTAGCAACCGTTCTCTCCTGGTATATATACGTACCCAGACGTGTCACAAAGAAAGATTATAAATACTTCTGTGAATGTTACAGTCAAGTGAAATACTATGAAACCCATGTGTCATATTGAAGATGGCCATTTTGAACATATGTAACTGTTGGATAAATGAGCTGCTATGTAAAATAATTCGTGAACTGTGAAATCACTACCGGTAATTTATGTGGATAATTATTTTTTGTTGTTTTTGTGGTATCAAGAGACATGCAAATTCATGTTCGTTTTTACTTCTATAGATGTATACATAACAAACATATTTTACTCAATTTTTGTATACTGGTGTATGGTGTATAGTGTACTTGTTATATAGACATGAAGAATATTTTATTTTGTTTACCTACACATGTACTGTTATACACCTGGACTTTTCCTAGGATGTCAAGTGCAATTTTTAGTTAATTAAATTAGAAGTCTTTGTATAGACAAACTGTTATATTTTAATTTTTTTTGGTATATTCTTGACATAAAATTATGTTTGAATGATGATATTGAAAATACTGCCTTCACAAAAAACCTTGCCCATAACTTTTGATTTAGTGGAGCTATGACTTTTATATTTCACATATGTATTCCTTGTGATAAATGTGTTTGGGTACCACCAAATTTGACCTTTTGACCTTGACCTTGGATGGCACACTTTTACACAAAAAATTTTTTTTTTGGCCATAACTTTTGAATCGTAGATACTAGGACTTTTATATTTCACATATATATTTTTTGTGACAAGACCTTTCATTGGATACCAACAACTTTGAAATACCTTGACCTTGTGAAATATGAAAAAACTTCAACATTGACCATAACTTTTGCAGTTACGGGCTAGGGCTTTCATTTTTCATATATGTATTCCTTGTGTAAAGACCTTTCATTGGATACCAAGAACTGTGTTTTGTTTGGCCTACTTTTAAAAAACTATGACCTTTGCCACAACTTTTGAACAGTAGATACTAGGACTTTCATATTTCACATATATATTCTTTGTGGCAAGACCTTTCATTTGATATGAACAACTTTGACCTTATGACCTTGACCTTGGAGATTTCTGAACTTACGAAAAAACTTCAACATTGACCATAACTTTTGAACGGTACGGGCTAGGGCTTTCATACTTCATATGTGTAATTCTTGTATGAAGGCCTTTCATTGGATACCAAGAACTTTGATCCTTTCAAAAACCTTGGAACTTTTCAAAAACTATTTTTGCCACAACTTTTGAAAGTAGTACTAGGACTTTCATATTTCACATATATATTATTTGTGGCAAAACCTTTCATTTGATATGAACAACTTTGACCTTATGACCTTGACTTTGGAGATTTCATTATAAAAAACTTTAACATTGACCATAACTTTTGAACGGTACGGGCTAGGGCTTTCATACTTCATATATGTATTCCTTGTGTGAAGGCCTTTTTGGATACCAAGAACTTCACCCTTTCAACTTGACCTTGATGTGGCACTTTTCAAAAACTATGACCTTTGCCACAACTTTTGAACGGTAGATACTAGGACTTTCATATTTCACATATGTATTCTTTGTGACAAGACCTTTCATTTGATATCAACAACTTTGACCTTTTGAAGTTGATCTTGGAAACAGTTGAAAAAACTTTTTTACATTAACTTTTGAATGGCAAAGGCTAGGGCTTTCATACTTCACCTATGTAATCCTTGTGATGTCATCAGATACCAAACACTTTAACCCTTTGACCTTGACCTTGGAGTTCAGTGATGATTTCTAAATAAATGATATATGATAGGGTGTTCATATTACACACAATATGTCATTAAAAATGACATCTCACTCACAAAGACACTGAAAGCGGGGGACCACAATTCCTTGAATTTGCTTGTTTTGGTATATTCTTGACATAAAATTATGTTTGAATGATATTATTGAAAATACTGCTCTTGATGAAAATTGTTGCATTTTTATGATGTTGACAATAAATAATAAAACAAAATGTGTTTGAACAACATGTATGCCCCCATATGGCACAACTCAGAGCAAATGAAGTTTTTTTTTTTCAAAAGTAGGTCATACCCTAAGGTCATCAGGGAAAAATTGTTAGTACCCATAGAGTCTTGTCAAAAGAAATACACTTGTGAAATATGAAAGCCCAGACCCCCACTACTCAGCAGTTTTGGCAAAGGTTTAAGTTTTTCAACAGAGGTCAAACTCAAGGCAAAAAATGTATGTAAAGGTCTTGTCACACAGAAAGCATGTTAAATATAAAAGAGCTAGGAACCACCTGTTTAGAAGTTATGGGCAATTTTTTCAAAAGTAGGTCAAACATCAAGGTCAAGGCATCAGTGAATTTTGATACTCAGAGAAAGGTCTTAGAACAATGGATAGTTTTGTGACTTTATATAAAATCTTATCATGTCTAACCTTTCAAAAATTAAATGCAGCATCTAAGTTTTTGCAAATAAATTAAGTAAACAGTCCAAATTTAAAATACCCCTGCATCTAAAATTACCAGTACATAGAAATATATTTGTACATGCACATTGACATTGAATATTTTGTGACTCTTCATTAAATAATTTAAAAATTTGATTTAAAATAAGAGATGTTTAATCTTCGATTTAAATGCAAAAAGATTCCCAAAGAAATGAAATTTATTAAAACTTGATTGAGTGGTCATATTAAAAAAAAATAAATATGCAAGAAAGACTTTTGTAGATCCAAAATCTAACATAGATTTCATCTTAATGAATAGCTATTAAAATAAAAGAAAATGGAAATTGCTATTTGTTCATTTGTGACATTTAACAGAAGTTTTGGACATTACGATACAAGTACACAATCGTAACAATAAAAGCACCTTTAGTGACTACGTAAAATTTAATGTACACTGTACATTCTTATGAAACATTAAAAGAAAAATAAATAAACACAACAATGAAAAGTACAGAGGTTAAAAAATGCTGATGCTAAATCTACATCTTTATAAATGGGTCTCATTCATTTGCACACTGAATATTAACCAAACAAAATACATGTAAATGGTTTCCTTTGATAAATATTTCTACATGCATTTACAGAAAAATTGTTGAAGTTCATGTGTAATCCACTGAAGGATAATGATTTTAAAAAATCTTTTTTTACAATGCTTTGAGTCATTTATTTTGGAACACCTTTGAAGAAAATTATTTAGCTTATATCGGTATATGTTCATTATAAACATGATAAAATCCTTCCTTAAATTAATTTCAAAGAAAATCTTTTAACCCAAAGTTGCATCACTCAAATCTACATACATGTAAATAAGTGTAGAAATGAATCACAAAGAAAATGACAAACAATATCAAAGGACTGTACTCCAGGTACTAGGTAATAAATTATCAAATCTACAGATAAAGCATTTTAAAAGAATTATATAAATAATTCAATACACTTCGTGAAAAAGTAAAAGCAAAATGAACTTTGTGACATTAGTAAGTACATCACCATTCATTGGTGTAAAATGTCTCCAAATTGAAACATAATCTTTGAAGTATTTCTTAGAAATTCAGTGTTTGAATTCAATAATGCACAAGTCTGTACTACATGCTAATGTAATGAAAATCAATGAGAAAAAAAGTTTTAAAGTATTTCAAAAAATGTGTAAATGGGCCCAAAAGGAGCAAGATATAATGATACAAATTTGTTGAAAAATATATTGTTATAAAAGTAAGACAGGAAAAAGGTAATTGCAAGTATTAGGGGAAAATGTTCTTCTCATATGTCCTTTTCAGTAGATATATACAAAATGGAATATGTAAAATTTACGTATAATATCAGTAAGCAAATACATGTACATATGTTTCATGCTTAATGTAAAGATATCAAAAGAACCTGAATACAATCTTTCCATATCTGTTCCAGCTACCCTGGTTGAATATTCCACTTGGGTCTTACTCAGTCAGTAATTCAATAGAATTTAACTGCACTCAAGGCTTGGTCCAGACTTTGTTTGGAAGGCAGCATGGGATACATTGTGTTGGGGTATGGTGCAGAAGGGCTGAGCACAGACTCTCGAGAACTTGTCTTGTCTTCCATGTAAGGTGTTTGTTGTTTTAGAGGGGTATAAGGTGGTGGATCATCTTCTTCAACATCTGTCACAACAAATATTTTAATATGTCTATTAATATAAAATAGAAATAAATACATGAGGTGATTTCAAGATCATTTTCAGACTACATTTTAATTTTGTGGCAGTATTACTTAAAACAAATATTATACACATGTAGAATTGTTCTTCCATATATATATGTGAAATTGCAGATTTCTACAGATGAGTGCAGAAGTCATTACTAAAATTCAAAATTACAATGTACTGGAAAAAAATTTATTTTCCTCTAACTAAAATGAAGTTTTCTCCTATGTATAAACACCTGAGAATTTTTCTTAATCCTACAAATATTTTTTAAAATGGGCAATGCAGCCTAGACAAGATTTAACTTTATGGACATTGTTGTACAAATTTCTAGCTCTCATTATATCTACTATTACCTCTGATTGAAGCTCATCTTTGTACAGACTAAATAAACCTCTGTATGATAGACTAGGAGTTAGTAAACTGTTTACTACTACATGGTGTATATTCATGAGATATCATGTGAATTAATTTTGTCATGTATTCTGATAAATACCACTCTCTACGCATCATCCAATGGTTGACAGTAGAGAGAGAGGGGGAGGGGGAGAGAGAGAAGTAAGACTAAATTTAAACAGTCAGATCTTTGTCACTCAGCATCTTTGTTAGCAAAAAGTTCGACTCTGTTACTCTCATGAATATAAACAAATCTAATACCAGGCTACTGAAGTTACTTTGTCATGTACATTTAGTTTCTGTGGACTAACCTGGTGTCTTGCAGTGGTATGCTGGAAACGATGGAGGTGGATTCAGTCTAAAGGACTCTCTTCTGTACTTGTGTAGTTTTTCCTTTGCTTTGTACAGATGATTCTGTGTTTTACTGGATCCTGTAAAATGGTAACTAATCATACAATTTCAATGCATTTTCCATACAAGGTAATCAATGAAACAGGATATTACATGCACCTCTCTGGTTTTAGGAAATTAAAAGATATGTATGATTTAAATAGAAATTAAAATAAAAAAAACTGCATTACTGTACAATGATGTATATGTAATTTTCCCTTATAATGGGCCTTTTTTATGAATGCTATAGTATACAGTTAATACATGTATTAATGAATATATTTAATTAATATTAAGTGCTCATCAGATTTCAGTTTGTCAAACAAGTCACCACAAACCTGTATATTTCACTTCCTCCAACTCTTTCCCATGAACATCTGGGATCTCCATGGCAACATCCTTAAATACAAATGACAAAATATTAATGACGTGTGAACATGACCTCTGAGACACCCACCATACAAAACATTATGTGTCTCAAAGACTTTCTAGTAGTAGAATGTCTTATATTGGATTATTTAACATGTTCAGTTTTCATACATTCATAACCATTTAGGATACATTTGTACATTTTAGGCATTCAAAAAAGAATTTACCTTCTGAGCCTTGAAAACTGTAGAGCATTTCTTCCCTAACTCTATGTATGCTTCAGCAATCCTTACAAAGCCCTCTTTTAATCGAATCATCTTCACTGCTTCATTTTCTCGTATTCTTTCAGTGACTGAAATAAAATAATATTACAAACATGAAAATTTGACTTTGATGAGAGCAAGAATAGACCTTTTATCATATTAATATCTTTAACATGTTTAATGCATGTGCATGCATATAGTGATATATACCTTCAATTTCAGCTTTCTCTCTTTCTGATTTTGCTTCATATAATTTTGTTTCCAGATTTCTTCTATCTGCCTCACAGTTTCTCTTAAACATGAAAAACAGCAGGATTTATTGTATGAAATGAAGAGTCATAGACAAATTTTATATGTGTGTTCTAAAATTTAAGGCTATTTTATTTGTTAAAGACATAATTGTAGAATATCACATAAAATTCTAATATAAATGTACATATATTTGATACATGTTGGTACAGGCATTGATTCGTATAAATAATTTTTTTTACATATTCATAAATATGTAATGTTATTCCTTTTGATATAAGAACTGTGCCAGTACATGGATACATGTACTTTTAACTGTATTCCATGCAACATTCACAGTATCAACTATGAACTCAAAACACATGCAAGTGGATTAGTAATTACATCAATTCTTTGGTTGAGGCATATTTCAAGGATCAGATTTTATGAAATAATAAGTAATATAACAAAATATTGAATTCTGTAAGAGAGATTGAAAGGAACAGATTTCAAGAAAGGTAACTCTATTCAATACAACAACACATACTTTACCACTCCCACAAATTATTGAAAACTTGGGTTCATACACAGACTGAAATTTACATGTATATTATTTCTAGCTGGTAAATTGCTTAAACTAAATGCCATAAATTATATATTTTTTTCTCTTCAAAACATGCTTTAATATGCCTGTATATATGCATATTTGAAATGCATTTCAATAAATTTGATGTTTTAAATAATATAATGCCACATGGTTTTTATCTTGTTTGTGATACACGTCATGTTAAACATAGTATGAAATAGCAGTTAAGTTAAAAATCTCAATATGAACAGTTGATCAATCCCCATCCATGTCTCAAAAAGAGTTGCTACAATAGTTTTAAAACCATCATTTTTTTTAATTTTTCAAATCTTTATTTTAACTATCAAAGTTACATCAATAACATCATAACAAATCATGTGGTTCTTTATAAACATACCTTTTCAGCCTTAGTCAAGTCTTTTCTCAGTTTTGATTCTTTTTGTTCACAATTGCTCTGCAAGAGTTTAAAAATAATATTGGAATGAATTCTTAATCATGTGTACAACAGAAAAGTTCAAAACACAAAGGATAAAAGGATAATCTGCTTGTCCCTGGTGAGAATAAATTTTTTTATGTGGTGATTTTTCATCTGATTATATCTGTCGATAATTTTACACTTACACTCTAAGCAAATATATAGAGTGATACCCATAAATTACTGATTTCCTAAGACACAGTTTGAAAAAATAAAAGAAAGTTAAGAAATCTGAAACAAGGCTTGACAAAACATGTATTTAACAGTTCCTCCTTGTGTTATGAGTAAAATCTTTCAAAAAATATTTATTAGGGTAATTGGGTTGCAATGGGATGATACTAGTACATATCATATATATTGATTCTAAGTGAGGATGACACACATATCGAAATACATATCGAATAATATTTTTTCATTGAGCACTTAACATTTTGTGTTAATCGCAATGGGAACTCTTTAAACCGACATTACAAAACTATTTGCAGGACTGTTTCAGACCGTTAAAAGGTTATAAAGTATTAAAAATAAGCTAAGATATGATTAATTATTTGATACCATTTGAAAAGCCAGAGAAAGCTTAACCAACATAAAATTAATACCTTAAGTAGTGACAAAAAATTGTCGGCTGAATCGAGGGTTTTAACAACGCTTGGATCTGTAGCTCTCTGCTTTATCTATTATTATCTGTCCTAATTTTCTCAAGCAGAGAGCTACTGTTCTGCAGCTAGTCTCCTTAATGCTTTTCAAATGACAATGAAGTACTTTACATATTACAAAACTACTGGTACTTTACCAGATTTTCTTTGGCTTGTGAAACTTGTTTTTCTCCCTCTAAGACCATTTCAAACATTTGTTTGTATTCTTTCAAATGTCCTGAAATAAGATAATAGAATTATTCGTATCAAACATGATAAAAGTTCTTTGATGAATTCATTTTTATTTGTATTTAATATAAAATCCATAATTGCCGGTGCGGAATTAACAAGTCCTTTTTTAAATAAAAAATAATAAAAATTTTGTACACGTTATACAGATTAAACATTTTTGTTTTTTTTTTTAATGAATTCTCTGACAATAAAATGAAACACTCACCAATAAAATCCTTTTGAACATCTGTCCACAAAAGGTTTAACTCAGTTATGTGATTAGCAACATCCTATATTTCAAAAGAAAAAAAAAAATATAAGAAAACAAATGAAAAAGAACTGACTTTAATTAAAGTTTAAAAATTAATTTATAGTTTTAGATGACAGAATATAAATACACTGTAATCACCAAGACTGCACTTTGTTGTTTTCACCGTTAATACGGGTTATGAGTGTTTGTTTTGATTTTTTTTATTAAGCCTTTATTAACATATTCAATTGCACATATTATTACATACATTGAGAAAATGGTTTGAATCAATTTTTTTTAATGCCTTGATCAGATTGAATAATAGGCAAAAATAACATAACAGGCCCTTCAAATTCATGATTTTTTTATACCTGAATGGCCCGGTTTTCTTCATTTACTGCCCATCTCATCATATCTTGACATGCTAAAAAGTAGACATGCTATACTTATAACAACAGATTTTCATTTGATCACACCGTTATGGACATGCAAAATTAAACATTTAAAGCAAAATATGAGCTGAAATTTTTTAATGATTTATCATGTCTTTGCTGAAGTCAATCCTAAAATTTAGACTGTAAAATGAATATAGCTCACCAGAGTTCTGAGAATTCATGAAGCCTTTAGCACTTTCTCTCATATCTTTTAATTCAGATATCATGACATTTAAATCGGAACTTTCTCCAGATCCCAAAGACTTCAACTTTGCTCCGCTCCTAAAGAAATATTAATTAATCAATGTTAATTAAGTAGCATGACAAGATCTTGCTCAAATCAACATGGTCACAAAAAATATATATATATATAACCAAATTACCGTATATAAATAAACTAAAATATACATGATATAGCCATCCAAGTTAAGGTAATTCATAAACCCTCCACTCACTCAGGTAAAATTTTTCTTTAGCTTTCATGATTTTCCAAATTAAATGTATATGCTGAATAAAATACGAACATTTATAGCATGGCTTGCGCGGCAAAATTTGACCAAAAAACGCACTTCAGCTTGACAAATTTATAAGGGAATAATAGACATTTGTGTCATTAAGAGTTATCTCTCTTATCAGAGTATCAATGTACCTTAAGCACAAAAAAAATGTTTGTTGTAATTAATATACAAAATGTAATGTGGACTATCAAAAAGCAGCCCAAATCAAAGATAGGTCACAGGGACTCATTATGACTTATTCAATTGGTATTCTTTGAATTTGACCACCATACTAAACATGCTAAACTCTGCTAAAATTAAGTCTATCTTTTTTTAACTTAAATTTTTTAAGTTTAAATGTTTTGTACCTGCGAATTGCTCTTGAAGCTTTATCCATGTTAACTGAATAAATGTTTCAGCCTTTTGAACACATGATACTACTATTATGAATGCAAAGTTTTAAAGCTTGCATTTGAAAATAACAATACAATGTTTACAAATTCAATTTCCGCGGGCCTGAACCGGAAGTGACGAAAAAATTAATTCACTCGTACTAAAAGTTATTTGGAATTTCCATGTTTCTATGAAAGTGAAAGTAGGTGAAATAAAAAAAGGTAAGTTTATTTGATTTTACTATTTTTAGATTTCATTTTGAGTTAATAAACAAAATATCTCGACATTCTCATGTTTTTAAAGTACTTTGAAAACACTAGATCAAAAAAGAAGAGACACACCCCTTTATTAATTTACTTCCTTGTCATTCACTCATTGTATTTTCTCTCTTTCCTTCTCTCTCTCTCTCTCTCTCTCTCTCTCTCGAAGTGAGGGGGAATTGTGGAAAAAAGTATGAATCTCAGAGATTAGTGCCACAGTACTCAAAGACTGAGCAATAGTTTTGTGTGCTACAAAAATCGAGGGAGACAATGAATCTCGTTATCAAATGATGTACTGATCGTAGCAAAAAGCCCCGGTTAGGTCTTGTCGCGAGACACAGTTAGATTATTCTACCCTCCACCAACACAAAAAGGGTATTTGAGATATATATAGTAGATTCCAAAATTATAGTTATACACATGTTCATTCTGATTTATTTTATTACATGTACAATGTTTAGCATTACTTGTCTTTATTTATTTTTTTTTTATATACCTAGATTGAATTTTGTATTTCGCAACTGAGCCAAACAATAGCTGCAAATAAAAAAAAAAATGAAAATTTCTCTATAAATCCCCTTAAATTATTTATGACCGAAAAGGCACTTGCCTTTGTTTCCTTTAAATCATGCTAATTGACAACACTTGCACTGATATAGAAAAATGAATATAGAATATTGTTGCTACGTTTATATATCCGCTTATGTAAAACTAGGACCCGCATGTTACCAAATAAAATGGCACATTATATTTTCGCATTTATTTTTATTGTAATGAAGTGCATATTTACCACACTTTACTTGCTTGAATATCATATACATGTAAATATTAAATATATTTTAAAATATATTAATGCCAATATTTCAGACAATGGGAGGAGACCAAAAAACTTCAAATGTTGATAATAATATAGAGGAACTGCTAAACATACTAACCTCTTTATGTAAGGAACATGGAACAGCAATTCCAAAGCTACACAGGTCCCTGGAGATTTTGATGACGATTAAGGAAGAAGTAAAGGATCTCCAAGTCTCTGCAGATCAGGATACTATATCCACATTGAACCTTAAAGACTTGGATGTACCTTGGAAAAAGATCGGTGCTGGAAATTTTGGAAGCGTATACAAAACAACATGGAAAAGTTCTGCAACTGTGGCTATAAAAGTCTTAAAAGAACAAGCCAAACATCAGGCTCGTGAATCCAAACTTCTGCGATATTTAAGCCATGAAAATATTATAGCTTATAGAGGGATGGGGTACATCCAGACAGAGGAAGAACTGAAGCGCACTTTGGGCATCAAGGATGAAAAGGAGGTTTTTCAGACACCGTGTATGTTTTTTGTCATGGAATTTATACCTACGAATCTGTATCGATACATAGTTCAACAAGAGAGCCATGAGAGACAAGGTCTTTCACTTGGAAAAGCTTGGGATATTGGGAAGCAAATCGCCAGCGCGCTAAGCTATCTACATTCAGAAGGAATTGTACACAGGGATTTGAAACCAGACAACATTTTGATTCAGGGATATGTGAACAAATTCATTATCAAAATCGCAGACTTCGGTTTGGCGTGGAAGAATGATCAGATTGACAAACAACAAACAAGATATGGTTCGGTGATGTCTAGCAGCAACGTAATGTCCGAAATAAGCGGTTACGTAAACATAAGATGGGGACCTCCAGAATTCAGGTCATCTTCCGAAAGCAGTAAAAGTCATACTATAACCGACTACCAGAAAGGTGATATATACTGTTTTGGCTTAATCATGCTGTTCACAATATCTGGCTTAAAGCCCTTAGCAGAACTTTCCTCTTCAAGCATAGGGGATGAAATAGATCTTCCATCAACTTCCATTCCAACGGATTACATAACAAATTCTAAAGACCTTGTAGGAAAATGTATAATAGAATGCACGAATGAGAAGCCTGAAGTAAGACCCGCAGCAGAAGATGTGATTCAGAAATATTATAGAGGGAAAAACCCATACCTTTCAGAAGCAGAGGAGAGAGAGTTATTTTCCTGTGGATTTATGGATAAGACAGACATATTCGTTGCAGATTCCTGCACAGACGAAGACGCTACTCAGATTGGCTATTTTGAATCTGGATACCGACCAAGTGGGTACCAACATGAAGACTTGAATTGTCCAATCCAAGTAGAGTCCAGACCTTGCAGGGATAGATATGAAAATTGGGACAAAGAGGAAGAATATACCGAAAATTACCAAGAATTTAGCAAGCAGGCAAAGGCTAAAATAATCGACAACAATCCCACCGTGGCATTAAAAAGTCTAGCATTTGCCCGTCCTGGTGAAGACGAGTGTCAAAGGGTTGAAATGTTTTTTAAGCAGTCAGAATACGTTCATCACAGAGCTATGAGAAAAATTTGGATGAGCTTGAGCGATCAACAAAAGCGAGATGCTATTCCAAACAAAGGAGACGTGAATCCCTATTTTAGCAATACATTTGGACTGCATGTTGCGATTCTGACAAACGAAGGTCCAGGAAAGCCTCAATACTTCGTTTTTCCCCAGCGTGCAAAGCGTGCAGGAATGTCAGCCCCGGGGGCTTTTACATGTGGTGCAGTTGAAAGTGCATCGACCCCAGACATTCAAGGAGAGGGAAATTCAAGATCAGTAAACCTTGTCAATACGGCAATTCGTGGTCTACGAGAAGAACTTGGTCTTGAATTGACCGATTCCGACGCCGAAGCAGTCTGTTTGACCACGATCTATCTGAAAACCGATACCCACGAATGGGGACTTTGCGGATTCGTTGATCTTACGGATAACAGAATTAAACCTGAAAATCGAATCAGTGCAGATAATTTAAAAGATCGTTTCTCTAGTGGTCCAAAAGACAAATTTGAACACCAGACATTAACGTTTGTGAAATTTACGCTAGAAGACATGGTGGACTTTGTTTTTGAAAACCATGATAATTTTGCCAGTTCCGCTAAACTAGTCGTTGTGAAGGTTCTACAAGCATTTTTTGGATGGTCGCGAGTACAGAGAGAGTTTGAATCTCGAAAGGTTACCTCAGAGAAATAAAGTTTATACATGTATATGTATTTACAGACAATATAAATGAAGCTTATTTTAGAGTTACTGTATGATGTAAGTACATGTAGATTCAAATATACTGTGATGTTCTGTAGAGCCGCTTTTAGCTTTACTTCCAACGCAATTAAGATGTAACACTTCAGTGTTAGAGTGTCTTTCAACTTCAATAATATCCTCCTCTCCATCATATCCAAAGCAATGATAAATTCATATCTGACTTTGCTGAGTTTATTGTGTCTTGATATCGATCTTGAATCAACTTTATAATTACATGCCATCTATTTAAAACCATTGGTCAATCAAATGCTTTAGAATTTGAAATCGTGTTACAAAATTCCATTGTTAAATCTACCACCAGATCTTTCATCCTTTTAAGTTTTTGCCTTACTACATTATCATGCAAGAACAGTCTCGTTTATCAACAGGTTCTTGCTTTCTACTGTGATACGAAATAATTCCCCATTACAAATGAAAAAAAAAATATGCCTATTGCCTGGCAAAATTTGAAAATAAGAAGCATATTGAACAATAGAGAAAAAGCAAAAGTACAGCAAGAGACTCTTACCTGAAAACAAATAAAAAAATTCGTTTCGCAATATACAAATAATGAATTTAACAAACAATGTCCATGTAATACATTTATTTTCCTTTAATTTGAAAATTTTAAACATTATATAATGTTGCAATTAGTCCTTTTGTACATTTCAATGATAAAGAGTATATCTTCTTTATCCAAATGTTTCTAATTTGCCACTTTCCCACCACATTTTAGGAGCTAGAGTAGCGAATCAGAAACCATTGGTTAAAAAGGTGACAGCGAATAGAATAATTTCTCAGAGCTGTCACTTTGATGAATAAGATATTACACTGACATTGCGAAATGGTGCTATAGATATTAACATGTTTATCTAAAATGCCTAATACTTATATAGATAAAAATTAAAAATACAAACAAAGCATTGAAATGACATTGCACTGCAAATTGTACTTTAACAAATATACAATAAACGCATTCTAAAGAACATAAGCCACGATCCCCCACTGCCCAAGGAATACAATAGATAAAAACATTAAGAAATTGGGGGGGGGGGGGACGCTGTGCATAACCTACATAACAACCAAACCTTAATAACATGACATTTCCGTAATACCGTTTGTAAACATGTTGTTAGGACAAATATTTTTCGCTATACAACGTATACGTAACGCGAAAAAAAGAAATTTTGATATCCAAAAAAAGGATTTCAGAATAAATAATTTAATTTTTCTTGTAACACGTCATTTGATTGGATAAAAGATTTTATCCATTTTGTATAACATAACTTGCCTACGTCACAATGAGTTACGTCAAAAAACGTGTTACTCCGCTTGACGTTATTTTTAAAATTTAATCAATAAGAAGCCTTATTCTGGGGAAAAAATTGTCGCATTGTCTGCACTGAACTGAAATTAAATTATAAGGAATGAAGCTCATTTCAACTTATATTATACGATATAACATAACTTCACGGTTTATAAAGCGTAAACTGCCCCAAGTTATGTTATATCGTATAGTATAAGTTGAAATAAGCTTCATTCCTTAAATAAATGATATTTTTATGTATATTTTAAAAAAAAAATCAAAAAGCTCAAAAAACCACTGAGCAGCTTAAGTATTTAAAGTTTAAAAAAAAAGTCTGAATGAGTAGAAAATTCTAAAATTCCCACATTAGTTTTTATGCCCTCTTTCGAAGAAGGGAGGGCATATTGCTTTGCTGCGGTCTGTCGGTCCATTTAGTTTCCATTCATTTTCTTCACTACCGTTGCACATACTGAAATGAAATATGGTATACAGATTTATCAGCTGAATATCTAGGACAAGTTCTGTTTTGGGTACGATTGCACCATTTTTGAAAGAGTTATGCCCCTTGGACTTATAAAAATTCCAATTATTTGCAGTTTCCGTTCATTTTCTTTGCAGAGGTTACACATACTGAAATGAAATTTGCTATACTGATTAATCAGCTGAATATCTAGGTCAAGTTCTGTTTTGGGTAGGATCGCACCATTTTTGATAGAGTAATGCCCCTTGGACTTGGAAAAATTCCAATTTGGGGGAGGGGGTATATGTGTTTTACAAACATCTCGTGTTTGTTTTTTTTTAAATTAATTATTAAAGCATCTTATTTTACGAATGCAAATCCATTTTTCTGTAGAATTATTTATATAACACAGCGACGTCAGGCCCCCTTTGAACGATGATATAGGACTGGCTGTTAGTTTGTGTTTAACGTTCCCACCGTAGTTTTTGAGACGTACGGAGTTACCGTTGGGCGATTGCAGAATTAGTACTTAAGGTCTTTGAGCAATGAGGAATTTCCTTTCAAGCTAGCGTCTTCTGCGACACAGGACTACACGATTTCATCCAAAGGACTGGTCTCCTTGTCGATCCTGTAATCATAAATGGGATTCGAAACAGGGGATCAACTCATTACTCAAAACTCTAGAACAAACACTCTAACCACTGCGCCACGCTTTACTTAAGGTATACCTTTACTCAGATGACCAAAAATTCCACTGATAAGAACGAAAAACCACCTATTGCACATTGTACACCAATGATTCTTGTGTTAAATTTTAATTTCAAATAAGTAGGTCAATGACCTCTTTTCATGCTAGTGGTCCCTGAGTATTTCTCGGGAAATACCTCAATTTCTCGCACTATGACCAAATTTTTCTATACAAACAAAATATTACAAGCAACTAAACTCTTTAAATAATGAAATACTACAGCAATGGAACAGCGTTGCTTCATATAAAGAAATGATTGGAGTTTGGGTCAGAAATGTGATAATTATAACAGTTTGAATTTCCTCTGTCATATTTATATTTTTTCCCCATTTTAAATAGAATATTACAAAAATCTGACTGATAAGAACTCTTTAACTATCTATAGCCTCAGATTACTTTTGATGCCCTAATTCTCACGGTATTAATATTATATGAGGTCAATGATCAAATTATTGAGATATATTGTCTAGAATGGTTTTTGTACATATTTTTTAATTTCTTTATTTCGTAGCATTCAATAATTTGAAATAATTTATTAGCTTTAACACATATAATATTTGCAAAATGATGTTTAAAAATATATTTAACCTTTACTTCGTGATTATTATTGAAAGAAATCAAAATTTTTGACAAAAATGAAAAATTAAAAATTTAGTCCGAATTTCCTCTGCATTACCATATATTGACTTTTGTACCTGTATATTTTCTTTAAACAATAAAATATTAAATTTTTAAATTGATTTCGATTTAAAACTTGATTATTTTATCCATTTAGAACAATTTTTGATTTAACATATTATACTTTATAATATTTCCTTTCTGTTATCTGAAACCTGAGTAAACGTCATCCTTAAAGTTACTTATTCTTGCATATATTTCTTGGAAGGATATGGAGATAACGAACAGTATTCAATCTCAAAGTCCATAAAACAATACAAAATAGGAGCGGAGCAAACACGGGCCTCTAAAACATCAGAGGGGAAATCAAGTGCCATGGAGGATTGAGCATCCCTTGCTGACCGGTCACACATGCCGTGTGCTTCTTGTCATGATCGGGAAATAACGGGAAAATTCGTCGTCAATTCAGTTTATAAATAATGGACTAACAATTAGTATGAACAAGAGGCCCATGGGCCACATCGCTCACCTGAGTACTGTAGCTTAGAAAAAGTAGAAATTGGTTTATTATTGAAAAGTTAAAATCCAAAAGTAATCCCATGATCAATCATGGATTTGCTCTTCTTCAAAGAATTTTCCCATATATTTCTATGTAAAACTTTGGTCGGCCATTTTGGCCACGCCCTACCCCCTGGGGTCATGATTTGTACAAATTTTTGAATCTACACTACCTGAAGATGCTTCCATATAAATATGATGAATAATGGCTTTGTCATTCTTGAGAAGAAGATTTTTAAAGAATTTTCCCATTAATTTCTATGTAAAACTTTGGTCGGCCATTTTGGCCACGCCCTACCCCCGGGGGTCATGATTTGAACAAATTTGAATCTTCACTACCTGAGGATGCTTCCATATAAATTTGATGAATTATGGCTCTGTCATTCTTGAGAAGAAGATTTTTAAAGAATTTTCCTATATATTTCTATGTAAAACTTTGGTCGGCCATTTTGGCCCCGCCCTACCCCCGGGGGTCATTTTGAACAAATTTGAATCTTCACTACCTGAGGATGCTTCCATATAAATTTGATGAATTATGCCTCTGTCATTCTTGAGAAGAAGATTTTTAAAGAATTTTCCTATATATTTCTATGTAAAACTTTGGTCGGCCATTTTGGCCCCGCCCTACCCCTGGGGGTCATGATTTGAACAAACTTCAATCTACACTACCTGAGGATGTTACCCCATAAGTTTCATCTTTCCTGGCACAGTGGTTCTTGAGAAGAAGATTTTTAAAGAATTTTCCAATATATTTCTATGTAAAACTTTGGTCGGCCATTTTGGCCCCGCCCTACCCCCGGGGGTCATGATTTGAACAAACTTGAATCTACACTACCTGAGGATGTTACCCCATAAGTTTCATCTTTCCTGGCACAGTGGTTCTTGAGAAGAAGATTTTTAAAACATGCCACCAAATTTTCATTAATTCCTAATTATCTCCCCTTGAATGAGGGCGTGGCCCTTCATTTGAACAAATTTGAATCCCCTTCACCCAAGGATGCTTTGTGGCAAGTTTGGTTGAAATTGGCCCAGTGGTTCTTGAAAAGAAGTCGAAAATGTGAAAAGTTTACAGACAGACAGACAGACAGACAGACGGACAGACGGACGCCGGACAAAATGTGATCAGAAAAGCTCACTTGAGCCTTCGGCTCAGGTGAGCTAGAAACGTCAGTCAGCATTTGATTCAATGATAAATTGTATTTGCTGACAAGGTCATTGTATCGACCAAAGGATTTACGAAATGATGACTTTAAACGAGACTCCTATTATTCTTGTTTTATCTACTTGTTTGTCAATAATTTACATCGTTTTAGAAATTGTTCATAGTTACGTAAAGCATGCTCTTGCGTATCGAATCAACTGAAATATTTAAACGCCGTATGCAGGTGATGAAGGTATATCGCTGCATATACGTAAGGGAAGTTGACGATAGAAAAGTCATCACGTTTATCATAGAGCTTGGTTGTTAGATTACCATTCACATCTTTTTCAAGTAAAATATCCAAGTATGAAACAGAAGTGTCAGTCTCTTGGTATCTTTTATCTCAAGCTCACCAGGATATATCATATCGACATAGGAATGGAAATTACCATTGTTAATTGACAGTACATCGTCGATATATCTAAATGTTGAGTTGAAGGCCACAGCAAGACTTTAGTGTTCTCTTCTTTTCACGCATAAGATTTTGCACAAATTCTGCTTCATAAGAATACAAAAATAGGTTTGCTTATAACGGAGCGCAATGTATGATTTAATAATATTATTTCCTCAGAAATAATCCTTTAGTAAAAATCTTTAAATGCCTCTAAAAAAGTACATGATGTTAATAAGCAAATTTGTCCGAATAGTACTTTCATGTTTGAAAAAATTATGGTTTTTTTTTTTTGAAAAACCTATTTAATGTATAAGTATCGACCTTGAAATTTTCGATGATTACGATCAATTAAGTCCCGCAAGTGAAAGCAGATTTTGGTGTGTTCGCGCCTCTTTAGCGCCAACTATT